CCAGTAGGGGCACGTGTGGGAGGCAGCCAGTCGATGTGTCTCTCCTACATTGATGTTTCTCTCTTTCTCTCTTCCCCGTTCCCTTCCTCCCTCTCTTCCACTCTCTCTCTGAAAAAGCAATGGAAAAAATATTCTCCAGTGAGGATTAACAACAATAAAAAAAATTGCCACAGTGGTGTGCTGAAGCCAGTTTACTGGCTAGTTAAAGCCAATTGTGCATATTTCCATCCAACTCCATGCTCAGTGACATCATGTTGGTAGCTTGAAATGGCCATGGTGGAGATCAGCAAGTGCTACAAATTAGGGTTTTTGTTTGTTTTGTTTTTCTTGGAGAGCAGTGTTAACTGTTTACCAGCACATCACTGGAATTTGGGTAATTTAATTTTATGCTTCTCTTTAAAAATGTCCATTATGGTGTTCTGTATCCAGTAGGTGATCAAAAACTTTCGATTAACAGAAGCAAACACAAAATGCCAGCATAATTTATTCAGTGATTAAATAAACAAATCATTTCATAAAGGAATGGAGCATCTAATGTGCTTTTGAACATGGTCTGATAGCTTATATCCATCTCCAGTTTCACATCATTTACCAAGAACACTTTTATAGTTCTAAAGAGTTCAATATTTCTGGGGCTCAAACTCTCAGAAAAAAAAGTACACATAAATCTCTCAATTTTAAAAGATAAATTGAGGGGTTACAAAGTCATTGCTTCGATTTTGAAAGTATTTTGATTATTTCTCTTAACAGAAAAAATTGCTGAAGCAATAGGTTCTGTAAAGAATTATATATTATCACTTTTTTTTAACCACATAACTTATTTTTAGTATATTAATCCTTTTTACTTAACTTCCACAAGTGCAAACAGTGGGATTGAGCACAATTTGTTAAATCAAATCCTTTCCTCAAACAACCATGACACATTCAATGACAAATACATTGGGGACCCAGGATAGAACTGCGTCATTAGAGACTTTGGGAAATACTCTGCCCAATTCTCCAACTTGTATGTTAGACCATAACTTGATATAAATCTTCAGTAATACCCAGAGGTTGGAGAAGGGGACCAGAAGAGGGATAGAATAAAGGAGACAGAATACAATGAAGTCCTCATATGTGGGAAGCAACAGCTTAATTTACTGGAGAGGTCACATAACCTTGGCAATGCTCATGGGATACAACATTATCTAAAGCTCTAGAGCCAACACCTTGTTAGATAATCTTTTACAGACATTTAAGAAAGTTCTTTGCTGAAAGTCACCTATATAGATGATCAGATATAGCTAGATAGATGGCTTCTCAACCAAGCATTGTTTTATCTAAGATGAGACCTGTAGAAGAGAGTGCAACACTGCAGAACAGTGGGTCTCAACCAGGGGCGCTTCTGCCCCCAAGAGGACATTTGACAATATCTGGAGATTTTTTTGATCATAACTGCAAGTTGGGTGGAGGGGCAGTACTATTGGAATCTTGTGGGTAGAGGCCAGAGATTCTGTTAAACATCCTCCAGTGCACAGGGCGCCCCTCACAATAAAGAATTTGGTCCAAAATGTCAATAGTGCCCAGGTTGAGAAACCTGCTGTAGAATTATAAGAGGAGAATTGGGCAGCTTACATTTCAAATTATAGCTTGGAAAAGTTTGCACAAGATGCATTTAGATGTTAAGTAAATTCTCACTTTCATAAAAAATTAGTAGATATACACATATATATGTTCTCCTTACACTAAACTGTATCCCACCTGTTCTCCTCCTCACCTCATACCTGAAGATAGATCTGCCTCTGTCTTATCTGCCTTATGGAAACTCTGGCCTCGACTTCATCATCGAAGAACACTGGAAAGCCTTTCCTGCCTTGATTTTGGTGACATCTAGCTTGCAACCTGATGTTTTTTCTACAGACTGATAGTTTATGTCCTCTCACAGCTGCTCTAAACTTATCACCTAAACATTCTAATAAAGCATATTATTTACATGACACATCAGCTAAATTTAAAAAATCTCTTTACATAGTTCAGTTCTAACTAGTATATTATTGATCATAGTTGTATTGCTCTAATTACTCATTAAAGATTGAAATATAAAATACCAATTTAAAAATTAAACATTCTTATTACCACTTTGGTCTATAATTAATGCATCATACAATCAAACAACTGGAACAGAATGAAGAGCTTATCTAGTCCAAGTCCTTCAATTCACAGAGGAAGAAAATGATGCTCAGTTTCTTAAGTGACTTTCCCAAAGCCAAAATGCTAACTAGTAGCTGAGCAAGGACTAGAACTCTGGGCTCCTATATCTTAATATGAAACTCTTTAAATTAAAATATATATTACAAAAGATCCAGAATTGCTAAAATAATACATTCCAATAAATTTTTATACATGAAAATATAAGAATTATACATAGAATTATGATCAACTCTAAATATATTATGCATATTAATACAGAAATACACAATGAGATATATATTTTTTCAAGTATTTTTCTCAAGTAAATTACTTGTCATATATTAAATTACTGAAGTGCATGCCATTAATTTGACTTCACATTAGTATAAATAATCTAGAGTAAAAAATCTGAAATACATGGCATTAAAAAGAATAAAATCTATTACTATCTATAATAATTATAATGTGCTGAATTTTAATTTCTTATGAATATATTTTTATTATACCAATCAATCAAATTAGAAAAAAATAAGAATTACAATATTAATATGGTTTTCTTTGTAGTCTAATAATAGTATATTGTTTCTACAATTTTTTGCAGAAAATTGTACTCTAATATACCACAAACTAACATGTTTTCTTTTTCAAAAAATCACATTAATGAGTACAATATACAGTTAATAAAGAAAAATAATAACCTGCCATCTACTTGATGAACATGAAAGCAATTTCCCCATTAAATTGCTCTAAACCTCTTCCATAAACAAATAAGTACTACTAAAGCCAACCCCATTCTTGTCTACTTATTAAAAATAGTAACATTATATACTTTCAATTCCTTAGTCTTTTCATATTTATCATGCAAGATTATGCATTTAGCTAAAAGAATAGTTTCAAATATGCAAATATGGGTAGAAACAGAATAGATCATTTCTAAAAATCAGATATAACTTAAATTATAATTAAATTATTTAGGTAACATCAAGCATATTTGGAAGACATCCCTCCTAGTGATTTATGGTTTTAATAGCAAACACTATAAATTCAGTGCTATATTTTAATACTTAAAAAATTCTTAACTATTTTACTATTTGTCAACTTCTGACTTACCTGGGTCTTGTTTTAGGTAAATGTGTCAGCTGTTTCCAACAATTTGTTATAACATTATGAATCCAACCATCACCTGTAATATTATGACAGTTTGAAACTTAAGATTTAGTCTTTGAGATAAAATTTTAATTTTTATCCAAATTTATCAAGTTTCATTTATGCAACTATCTTGTGTGTGTGCATATTTTCTCATAAAAACAATCAGAGATATAGAAAAGTAGAGTGAACATGACAAACCCACACATATCCCAGATTCAACAACTACCTAGATTTTGTCACATGTGCTCCATTTATTTCTTTTTATTATTGTAGCTGAGTTATTCTAAAGCAAATCCTAAATCTCCGCTCATTTTCCCCATACATACGTCAGTAAGCACTGCTTAAAAAATGGAATTTTTTTACATACCTACAATACCATTGTCACATAACTACAATGCCATTATCACAGTCAACAAAACTAAAAATTATTTCTTAGTATTATCTAAAACACATATGACCACATCCTAAGCTGAATCTATAAAGGAGGAAACTGGACTAAGAGTTAGGACATTTCCAGATGGTACTAGATTTATTGGGATGATCACTTTTTCTACACCTGAAACAAATATAATAGTGTATATCAACTGTAACTGCAAAATAAGTTAATTTAAAAGTTAAAGTTAAAAAAACTTTTTTAAAGAATAAGGACATTTAATTCCCCATAGGTCAATGACCAAAACAAACAAGTAGGAGTTAAAAACGGTAGTGCTCATGAAGATATGATATTAAACAATCTCTAGTGAAATGGATGTTAGCTTTTTTATTAGATTCCAAATCTCTTCTAATTAAAATCCCCAGAAATCGAAGAAACATAATATTCTGCAATAGTTAACATCTCCTACAAGGAACTGCTGTTTCCAGCCAACCTCTGGAGTTCGTTGGCCAGAAGACTGCCAGATATACAGATGACGCTCAATAAATTTTTGTGGGGGAAAAAAAAAAGTTTTTTCCAGATCCTATATAAGATTATAGAAATGGCCTTAATGGTATATAAGTTCTCTTAATGAAAACATCTCTAGCCAAAGGAAACTTTTGAGTTAAAAAAATACAAAACATTTAGTACGTCAGACTAAGAAGTGGATATTCTTGGTCATTTGTGTATCCTGATGGTATAATTGTACTGCTGAAAAGAAAAACTGCATTTCAAAATCCACAGTCATTGGGTTCAACAGTAAAAGGAGTTTAAAAAAATTCTAGCTAGGCACTTTCCTTTATAGTTTGGGAAAAAAGAGAGAAGCAACAGGCCTTCCCACCTTATATTTCCAGAGCATTCTGGAAAAGGCTGCTCTTCTAATCTGCTTTCCAGCCTGCAACCTAAGCATCTGGATCATAAATAAGGAGGAGCCCTGCCAGCGTGGCTCAGTGGCTAGAGCGTCGGCCTGCGTGCCAGAGGGTCCAGGGCTCGATTCCCAGTCAAGGGCCCATACCTGGGTTGCAGGTTGGATCTTGCCCCCCAGTTGGGGTGCAGGTGGGAGGCAACCAATGGATGTATCTCTGTCACATTGATGTTTCTCTCTCTCTTTCCCTTTCCCCACCTCCCTTCCACTCTCTCTAAAATTAATGGAAAAAAATATCCTCACTCCTTGGGTGAGGATTAAAAAAAAATCAGGAGGACATAGAATCATAGGTTTTATGGCTGAAAGGGGCTTTAATTCACCTAGTTTCACCCACCCTTCCTTTTCTCTACCCCTAGGAAGCAGGAGAAAATCAAGAGCCAAGGCTACAGAAGCAAAGCAATCCACTCCTAATTCTAAATGCAAGCATAGGGTTGCGGATAAAATAGAGGCAGAGCATAAAATCAGAAAAAAAGGGAAGATACCTTGAGTATAAACTACAACTAAGGAAAAAAAGACAATAATTGTAGGCCTAACATGAATTCACTTACTTAATGGAATATTGTCCGCACTTAATCCACCAAATAAGAAAAGCTTATCGTCCGCTATTGGTGTTAAAGTATGCCATGATCGATGTTTAGGGTTTTCTCCACTAATAGGAATCCTGTGGCAAAAGGAAACTATAAAATTCTGGGTACTGTGTTAGTCAAAATAAGTGGTTTTCAGTCATCTCAGATCTTAAAGGGAAAATTTGCTCTCACTAGTTTAAAAATTTTTTTAAATGTCTTAAATTCTTAAATGAGCTTAAACAATCTTTCCTCTTGGTATCTATTCCACCTGTTCACAGAACACATTGAAAATTAATTTCAAGTTAATTCACAATGCACGCTCAGCATCATTCTTGTTGGTTCATCAATAAGCTTCCTCGTTGTTTCAACATAATTATTCTCATGTCTCTAAGTTTTAACTGTTGTTTCATATTTAATTTTGTGTTTTCAGCAGATTTCCTCAATGATATTTTGGGATTTTGTTGTTGTTTTTACTTGGGGTATTTGTTGTAGAATTTCCCAAAGTATCATCTTCATTCTAGCTTCAAAATAAAAGCATGCAAGCCATTCCAGATCCAGAAAAAAAACTCTAAAGATTTCAAACAAATACTGTTCTAGTCCTTAAAAAGTAGAAACAGAAGTAAAATCATAAGCACACAAGTTTAACTAATTTAGGAGGTGAGAAGGCACAGTTCTCCAGCATTCTGGAATGCTCCAAAAGAACATGGATTATTTGTGGAAGATGTAATTTGTTTTTTCCAAACTGGAAATATTTTTATTATTTTTGTTGACTATAAAAACATTTTGGTTATGCCCGGTCGGACACAGCTTGGTGGTTAAGCATCGACCTAGGATCCAGGAGACTGTGGTTCGATTCCAGTCAGAGCACATGCCCGGGTTGCAGGCTCGGTCCCTAGTCAGGGGCATGCAGGAGGCAGCTGATCAATGCCTCTCTCATCATTGATGTTTCTGTCTCCCTCTCTCCCTCTCCCTTCTTCTCTTGGAAATCAATAAATTTAAAAAAAACAAAAAGAACCATTTTGGTTAGAAAACATTCAACCACCACAAAAATATTTTTAATGAGTTGTATAATTCTGTCTTCCAGCAATAAGAAATAATAATTCCGTATATATATTTCCAGATTTTAATGTCTATATAAATATTNTCAACCACCACAAAAATATTTTTAATGAGTTGTATAATTCTGTCTTCCAGCAATAAGAAATAATAATTCCGTATATATGTTTCCAGATTTTAATGTCTATATAAATATTTATTAAAAATATATAAATGGGATATCTTCCATTCTGTAATTTTTTCACTCTCCCAGTGTGTTGTAGAATATTTCCATGAAGTAGACTCCTTTGGTAATGGAAGCATGGCAGCCCTTTGGGCAGATATACCATGGTTTAACAATCCCCACTTGTGGGCATGAAGGTTGATCTCAAGTTTTTGTTGTTTTTGTTTTTTTAATCCTCACCCAAGGATATTTTTTCCATTGCTTCTCAGAGACAGTGGAAAAAAGAGAGACGGGGGGGGAGGGAAAGAGAGAGAAACATCAATGTGAGAGAGACACATTGACTGGTTGGTTGCCTCCCACACAGGCCCCTATTGGGGCGAGGGATCAAGCCTGCAACCGAGGTACGTGCCCTTGGCCAGAATCGAATCTGGACCGTTCAGTCTGTGGGCCGATGCTCTAACCACTGAGCTAAACCAGCCAGGGCAAGTTTTTGTTTTTATAAATAAGATTGCGATAAACATTTTTGTGTATGCATGCATAAATATACTTGTCCAATTATTGTCTTCAGAGAAATTCTGGATCAAAGTAGAAATTCCATTTTCTATTTTAAACATATTGCCAGAACACCCTCCAGAAAAACTGTACCAACTTATACTTCTACTAATTATGTTGTTACAATCTAGCACACACTGGGCATATGTAATTACTTTTATCTGGTAAGTAAAAACTAGTTTTATTTCCATTTCTTTAATACTCTATGAAGTTGAACATCTTCTTAAAATAGTTTTGCCTATTTGTATTTCTTCTATGAGTTGCTCATTCATGGTTTTTGTCCACTTTCCTATTTGATATTTATCTTTTTCTTACCAACTTAGTTCTTGTGGATCTCAGCCCTCTCTGTTAGAAATACTATAAATATTGTGTAAAGTATATGATTGTCTCACCACTATGCTGAATACCTGAAACTGATACAAAATAATATTAAATGTAAACTGTAATTAAAAATTTAAAAATATTTTAAAAGAAAAATTCAAAATAAAAAATACTGTGTAAGTCAAACACACACAAAAAATATTTTTTTAGAAATATTACTTCTAATTTATTTTTTTGTTTGCATTTTCCAATTTGCCTCTTAAATTTTTGTGGTATATTTTTCTACACAGAAATAATTCTTAAGTAGTTTTATCAACCTATCTTTTAATTTGTGAATTTTGAGTTTATATCACTTTTAGAAAAGCCTTCTCCATGGCAAGATTTTACAGATAACCTGTTATATTTTCTTCTTGCACTTTTATGGTTTTATTTTTGATAACATTTATACTTTGGAATAATATATAGCTGAGTTCATCTCATTACATGAACAGCTGAATTGATACCTAAATATATTTATTTTACTGCTAAATATATATTATGAACCATAAACAAAATCTGACTTTTATCCACTCCATTTTCTGTTCACCTGTGTGACCCTATTAAACCATTCCTTTACTTCTTCTACTGACCAGCTCTCAAGAATACAAGCAGTACTTTTACATAATCAATTTCAACTGCTAGTATTCTCATGTTTTATATAGTTTGGTTAAAGAACAAACTCTCTTTAAATCTATATATTCCTTGCTTAGACATATAATCTGAAGAAAAAATAATAGTTCAGTTTTAGAGATCCAAATTTGGATTATGGTGCATGTGCACACACAGAGAGAAATACCTATAGATAAAAACAAACAAATCTCATACCTACCTTCCAGACCAAGTCCAGGTATCTAAGTTTAGATAGTGCAAATCATTCATCCTAGTTTGCTGAAATAAAAGTGTGTTAAACTGGTCAGTGTTTTACATCTTTCATAAGCTATAATTTTGGTTTTAAAATAGTTTATATTAAAAATAGATGATCTCCATTTTGCTTAATATCATAAGTTTATATATTGAGAAACAATGCTGAGCATTAATAAAGTTAACACAGAGCTACCAAATTAATATGTCAAGGGGGAAAGGAAAAAATGAGTTTAAACTAACAGGATTTAGATGATAAGAAATTAAACTTTCCTAATAATACACTAAAGTGAAGAATTCTCCTCATTAAAATGAGTTATAACCATCTGTGATTATTCATGTATGATCCATTTGGGAACAGAGGATAAGTTTCTATAAGAAGTATCACACATAAAAAGATTATTTCCATTCAAAATCCTAACCAAGGGGAGGGGCCGTGGGGAGGAAGAGATTAACTAAAGAACTTATTATATACATAACTCATGGACACAGAAAATAGTGTGGTGAAAGTCTGGGGAGGGGATGGGTTGAGGGTGGAGGGGATCAATAGCGGGGGGGAGAACATCNTAGTGTGGTGAAAGTCTGGGGAGGGGATGGGTTGAGGGTGGAGGGGATCAGTAGCGGGGGGGAGAACATTNAGCGGGGGGGAGAACATCCGTAATACTTTCAACAGTAAAGATAAATTTTTAAAAAATAAAAATAAAAATAAATGACCAAGGAATCTAATGAACAAAATAAACTGGTGAATAAAATAGAACCAGAGGCATGGAAACATGGACCAGACTGACAAATCTCAGAGGAAAGGGGGTTAGAATATTAACCAAAGAACTTATAGGCATATATGCATAACCCATGGACACAGACAATAGTCCATAATAGGCCTGGGGAGGGGGTGGGAGCAGGGTGGAGGGGGTCAATGGGGGAAAGAAAGGGGCATCTGTAATACTTTCAACAATAAAGATAATTTTTAAAAATATATATAAGGAAGAAATTAAAAAAAAAATACTAACCAAAACGCGTCCACCAAAGATATAGCCTTTATTTCCAAGAACTGCACATGTATGTGCAGCTCGTGGCTGTGGTGGAACTCCACCCTGCAAGCAGAGATCAGAAAACAGAGTGCGAAGACTTGAAACACGTGAAATGCCGTCACATTCTTATACTTAGTATGAGAAATACTTGACTGCTAAATTACCATTATCTATGTAATTACATTAGAAAGTCTAATATAAAAGTTCACTCTAAATTAGCGCTTTTCAACTGCTGTGCCTCAGCAGGCATACAGATGTGCTGCAAGAATTTTTAAACATGCAGTACCTGACTATTTAGTCAGGACCACTGACCTTTCTTCCCTTAGACTGTGAAATTAAAAAAATGACAACAGCCACCACAACAATGGCTGTTCGGTGTGAATGAATCAAAATTATACCTATATTTTGTGTCAGGTTGGCAAAAAATATATTTTTTGGTGTGCTGCAGAATTTTAGTAGTTTATGTGCGCCATGAGATGAAAAACTTTGAAAATCGCTGCTCTAAATAGTAATAATTAAAGACAAATACCACAGGCACACATCGTTTTATTGTGCTTCATTTTATTGTGTTTTGCAGATATTGCGTTTTTAATAAATTGAGGGATTGTGGCAACCCTGTGTGAAGCAAGTCTATCAGTGCTACTTTTCCAACAGAATTTGCTTACTTCGTTGTCTGTGTCACATTTTGGTAAGTCTCGCAATATTTCAAATTCTTTTCATTATTATATTTGTTATGGTGATCTGTGATCAGTGATCTTTGATGTTACTATTGTAATTGTTTTTTGGGTGCCATGAAATGCACCCATGTAAGATAGCAAACTTAATAGATAAATGTTGTCTGTGTTCTGACTGCTGCACTGACCAGCCATTCCCCCATCTTTGTCCCTCTCCTCAGGCCTCCCTATTTCCTAAGACACAACAATATTGAAATTGGGCCTATTAATAACCCTAGAATGGCCTCTAAGTGTTCAAGTGAAAGGAAGAGTCACATGTCTCTCACTTTAAATCAAAAGCTACAAGTGATTCACCTTAGTGAGGAGGCATATCAAAAGCTCAGACAGATTGAAAGCTGAGACAAGCTGAAAGCTAGGCTTCTTGCACCAGTTAATCAAAATTTGAATGCAAAGGAAAAGTTCTTGAAGGAAATTAAAAGAGCTACTCCAGTAAACAAACCAGTAATAATAAAGTGAAACATTCTTATTCTGATATGCAGGAAGTTTTAGTAGTCTGGCTAGAGGATCAAAACAGACCAAACATCCCTTAAGTCAAAGCCTGATACAGAGTAAGGCCCTAACTCTTCAATTCTGTGAAGGCTGAGAGAAGTGAGGAAGCTGCAGAAGAAAAGTTTGAAGCTGCCAGTGGTTGGTTTATGAGGTTTAAGGGGAAAAAAGCTATCTCTAAAACATAAAAGTGCAAGGTGTAGCAGTAAGTTCTGATGTAGAAGTTGCAGCAAGTTATCCAGAAAATCTAGCTAAGATAATTAATGAAGGTGGCTACACTAAACAACAGATTTTCAATGTAGACAAAACAGCCTTATGTTGGAAGGAGATGCCATCTAGGACTTTTCTAGCTAGAGAGAAGTCAATGCCTGGATGCAAAACTTCAAAGGACAGGCTGATTCACTTGTTAGGAGGTTATGCAGTTGGTGACTTAAAGTTGAAACCAATGCTCACTTACTATCTGAAAATCCTAACACCCTTAAGAATTATGCTAAATCTACTCTGCCTGTGCTCTATAAATGGAACAACAAAGTGTGGATGACGGTACATCTGTTTACAACATTGCTTACTAAATATTTTAAGTCCAATTTTACTGTTGAGACCTACAGCTCAGAAAAAAAAGATTCCTTTCAAAATATTACTGCTCATTGACAGTGCACCTGGTCACCTCCAATGGAGATGTGCAGTAAAATTAATGTTGCTTTCATGCCTGCTAACACAGCATCCATTCTGCAGCCCACGAATCAAGGGATAATTATTTAAGAAATATACTTCATAAGGCTATAGCTGCCATATATTGTGATTCCTCTGATGGATCTGAGCAAAGTAAATTAAAAACCTTCTGGAAAGGATTCCCCAATCTAGATGCTATTAAGAACATTAGTGCCCGGCTAGGTGTGGCTCAGCGGTTGAACATGGACCTAGGATCCAGGCGATCGGGGATCAATTCTGGGTCAGGGCACATGCCCGGGTTGCGGGCTAGATCCCCAGTCAAGGGCATGCAGGAGGCAGCTGGTCAATGACTCTCTCATCATTGATATTTCTATCTCTCTCTCTCCCTCTCCTTTCCTCTCTCTGAAATCAATAAAGATATATTAAAAAAAAAAAAGAACATTAGTAATTCATGAGACAAAGTCACNCCTCTCTCTGAAATCAATAAAGATATATTAAAAAAAAAAAAAAAGAACATTAGTAATTCATGAGACAAAGTCATAATATCAACATTAACAGGAATTTGGAGGAATTTGATTTCAACACTCATGAATGACTTTGAGGGGTTCAAGACTTCAGTGGAGGAAGTAACTGCAGATGTGGTGGAAATAACAAGAGAACTAGAATTAGAAGTGGAGCCTGAAAATGTGATTGAACTACTGCAATCTTATGATACAACTTGAATGGATGAGAAGTTGCTTCTTATGGATGAGTGAAGAAATTTGTTTCTTGAGATAGAATCTATACCTGGTGAAGATGCTGTGAAGACTGTTGAAAAAACAAAGTATTTAGAATATTACATAAACTTAGTTGATAAAGCAGCAGGATTTGAGAGGATTGGCTCCAATTCTGAAAGACATTCTACTGTGGGTAAGATGAAATCAATCAGCATCGAATGCTATAGAGAAAGCATTAACAAAACGAAGAGTCAATTGATGTGGCACACTTCAATGTTGTCTTATATTAAGAAATTACCACAGACACCTAACCATCAGCAACCACCCCCCTGATCAACTTGCTTTTCTCTTGCTGCCTTTAAGGTTCTCTCTTTGTCTTGAATTTTTGGCATTTTAATTATGATATTTCTGGTGTGGGCCTCTTTGGGTTCTTCTTGCTTGGGACTCTGTGTGCCTCCTGAAATTGTATGACTTTTTCTTTCACCAGTTTAGGGAAGTTTTCTGCCATTATTTCGTCAAACTGGTTCTCTGACTCTTGCTTACTTTCTACATCTTCTGGCACTCCTATGATACAAATATTGTAATGTTTCATGTTGTCCCACAGCTCCCTTAAGCTGTCCTCCTGTTTTTTAATTGTTTTTTCTTTTTCGGTCTCTGATTGAGTGATTTTATTTCTATCCTGTCTTCTAATTTGCTGATCCAACCCTCAGCTTCCTGTAATCTGCTGTTTATCCCTTCCAGTGTATTTATTTCTACTATGTCATTCTTAATTTCCTTCATAGTTTCCACATCTTTTCTCATGCTACTGAGTATCCTTAAGATCAATATTCTGAACTTTATATCTGATAGATTGCTTATCTCCATTTCATTTAGCTCTTATTCTGGAAAATTATTTTGTACTTTCACTTGGGGCTTGTTTTTCTCCCCATCTTGGCTGCCTGTTTGGATTTGGTTCTATATATTCGATAGAACTGCTAGGACTCCCAGTCTTTTGGATGGTGTCTGGTGCAGGTCAGTGTCAGACACTGTTTGTGACTGGCCTTAAGTACTCTGTTTGAAGTTTTTCGCACTCCACTGCTTGTAGTTCCCTTTGCTGGGGCTGGGTACTTTTGTAAAGGAGCAAGATGCACACCCAGGTTTCCCCCCAGAGCTCTTGGTGCTTCAAATTCCACAGTAAGAATTTCATTTTTTACTTAAGCCAAACAGTGCTTTATCTCTCATTAAAGCTCTTCACATTAACTGATAACACTTCTCTATACTTTACTTTGAATAAATATATCAGCTCTTTACTTTAAAGATGTTTTGGATTGGTGGGAAAAGAGGGAGTATAATGAGTAGACGAATGAATAAGATTTGAAGCAAAAAAGTTAAGCATAATATTCATGTGTTCCTAGTGGGTGCCTTTGTGTGTGTATTTCATTCCATGTTCTAAAAGAACCCAACATTTTCAGTTCACTGGCTACTGATGTGAACACAGGAAACTTAAACTCTACATCTAATACCATAACTCCCTAGACTTCTCAAGTTACTTTAGTAACTGTGCTGAAGTCAACATGGTAAGAAATAATTCAGATATTACCTATATAACACTTAAATAAGTGAGAGAGAACCATTAGAGTTGTGGTTCCCTGCCTTTCCAGTAAAACAAAATTTTCATTATTACCTCATCTCTAATCTGAAATTTGGAATAATTCTTCTACTATAAACACATTTATTATGAAATAAATATCGAATTTCTCCATTTAACTTATAAAATACATTTATTAGCAAACCAAAGCTTCTGAATAAACTGAGTTCAAACAATTTCAAACAAAAACAAAGAAATGACATTTGCATTAGTCTGTGTTCCTAACTGTACAAGTAATGCACAATGTTTATTAGGTTGTTTGAAATACTGAAAATAACTCAAAGATCCCTGTTACTAGTATATTGCTCTTCCAGAGGTAAAAATCCCATGTAGGAAAACACTTCCAACCTCCCATTTTATAGATAACAGACTAAGGGGCTTTTCTAAAGCACAAGGTATTTCGTGACACAATTAGAATGCATATTCAGGTAGAAGGGTGAGTGGAGGTAGAGGAGGGCATGGGGGATAAATGGTGATGGAAAATAAAATAAAACAAAATAAAACAAAATAAAATAAAATAAAATAAAAAGGGGAAAAATGCAAATTCAGTTTTTTCAACTTCAACACCAATAATTGTTACCCTCTACCATGTTGCTTGGCCTTATGATGCAGATGTTTGGGAATAATGAATTAAGAATGTCTTAAAAAATAAAGAGAACAGATTCCAGCTTTAACCATGCTGGAAAAACTTCCAGGTACAATATAAATACTATAAGAATTTGTTTGAAGACATCAGCAGGAAAATTACAGTGAAAATATTGTTAAATACTAACTAAAATAGCATTATCTGTTGACGTCATGTGCAGAAGTCATGTACTTCTGTTGGAGAAGGAGGAGGGGAGGGATATGGATTAAGATAAGGAGAGAAAGGAGTCAGAGAATGACTTTTGAGGTCCAAAGAACTGATTATAAGCTCCCTCAGCTTCCTTATCCATAGGAACACATTTAAAAACATGCCTTTGGCAGTTCCAGCCCTTTGCTTATTCTCTAAGGAAGTAGGAGGAGTTTCAGTGTATCCAGTCTCAGTAATATTTCTCTCTACCTACTGGCTGATATGAAATTATTTTAACAGTGATAAAATGCTTTTACTTCATTAATAAAAGACACCAATCTTAAAATTCAAATGTCGACTGAAGGAAAAACCAATCAACAAGTATAAATGACTGACAATTGATCAGTTCTAAAATTAGAAATGGGGTGAAGAGAATAGAAGAGCACTGGAAACCTGACATTCATGGCTTGGAAAAAGAGGATGCTGAGAAGGGTGTTATCTTATAACACTATTTTGCATAGAGCCTCCAATCACTTCCATCAGCAGAAATTGGACTGCAAGGAATTTTAGTCATGCATGCATATAGTGAACAATTTCGGTTTTGCCTGTTCAGCATTCTATTCTGCACAGTTCTGGTGAGTTTATCAGTCACAATACCCTGCTCCCACAGGGGTAGGCCCTGCCAATCATCCCCTTGGCAATGGGGACTGATGGGAAGAGTAGGAATATGCACACATAGAGCCAGAGTCCTTTTCTAGAATTGATATATAAACACTGAGAGAATACGGCACCAATAGAAGGAACTGCTTGTGTAGCCAAGACCATATTTCCTCCTAAACGAGCCNCTTGTGTAGCCAAGACCATATTCCCTCCTAAACGAGCCATCCAGTCTTCAGTAAACAGAATGAAGCTAGCACACAATAAGAAATGGGCAGACAAAGAGAGATGAAAGTGCTGGTGTTGAGTAACCTGCTCTAGTTCCTGAGTTCCTGGTCCCCACAGCTTTCTTTCACCATGTGAGCTCCTCTAAAATATACTTTCCAGCTGTGAGAATTCACTGCTCCTTAAACTAATTTGATTTCTGTTTGCTCACTAGCATATGAGAGCATTAATAATGTAATTTTGCCTTGCTACAACCGCATGCAGTCCTGGTTTCAAGGGTTTATGAAACATGGGCTTTAAAAAATCCTGAACTTGGTTACAAAATAATTTTTTAAAAGAATCTTCCTTAAATCAGGGCATCACAGTTGTGGGTAAAGAGTGATGATGGCACCTCTTTGCAAGATTTTTCTAGAAAACCCTTAGCTAACCTGGAAAAAATATGTGATTTGAAAAAAAATAGTATTAGTGACAGTACTCAAGAGAACTCCTTTGTATGTAATTACAAACTCAATTATTAAAATCCAAATAACTTAGTAAAAATATATATTTTAAATGTATCAATAAATATATAAATATAAAGGTAACTTTTTACAATACTTACTTTAATTTCTGGTTGAAACCAACTCTGTGTCTTTGTGTCAAATACATGAACATCATTATGCCATCCCCAGAATATCTGCTCTTCCTAAAACAGAAATTTAAAAAATTTTTTAAAGATTTTATAACTTTTAGATTATTGTTATGGTTTCATTTCATATGACTGGTTAAATAAGAGACACCTTTGCAAAAATACAAATCTTATCATATTCATAAAGCTAATGCATATGCCAGTGACTCAAAAAGTGTGGTCTCCAGACCACAGCAGCATCACCGGCAACTTTTCTTCTCATAGTATTGTTTGTACTGTGTCATAATTTACTTGTTAACAATTTTCTAATTCCCTCAAAGGATTGTCTCTTTTAGAACTGCAGAGGACAGCCCTGGCTGGTGTGGCTTAGTTGGTTGGGCATCATCCTGCGCACCAAAAGGTTGTCAGTTTGATTCCTGGTCAGGGCACATGCCCGGGTTTCAGGCTCGATCCTCAGTAGGGGGCATGCAGGAGGCAGCCAATACATGTTATGCTCTCACACAGATGTTTTTCTCTCTCTCACTCTTTCTCTCTTGCTCTCTAAAATTCAATTTTAAAAATCTTAAAAAAATAAAAAATAAAATTGCAGATACATAATGACATTTACATTTTGAAATGTTTTTCTAAAGTACATGCTCAGAATCCCTAATCTTTGCTACTAGAAACTTTAGGAGGACTACTGTTCATTTTTCAAAAAAGTTCCAGCCTGGCTGGCATGGCTCAGCAGTTGAGCATCCACCTATGATCCAGGATATTTTGGTTCAATTCCCCATCAGGGCACATACCCAGGTTTCAGGCTTGATCCTCAGCAGGGGGCATGCAGGAGGCAGCTGAACAATGACTCTCTCTCATCGTTGATGTTTCTATCTCTCTCTCCCTCTCCCTTCCTCTCTCTGAAATCAATAAAAATATATTTAATTAAAAATAAGTTCCAATCATTTCTACTTCACCAAGCAATTTGCTCTTATAGGTCAAACTTTTACTCACTTTCTTCTTTGTCTTCTAAGAGACAAAATTATCAGCAAGACAGTTATATTGTATTTAGAATCTTCCAGGTTGTTAAAATGCTCTATCACAGCTTACCTTTATGCCAGATTTATGTTTTATGTCAGAAACACATCACTTTTGTCAGGACTTGTCAAACTAAAAATTTTACTTAGTTTAGAATCTAAACCAAAAAAAAATCCACTGTACACAAAATATTTCAGGACATAATCATTAACCTAACTGTACTAGGAGAGAAAAACATGAGAGATTTCACTGATGAGTAAAAATAGATATAAACAATGGGAAGTTATATTTCTGAAAATTATCAGTAATACTGTAAATAGTAAAGCTTTAAAAATATTTCCTATTAAGAGCTAAAAAAAAAACAAAACCATGCAAATACATGGAGAATTTTTTTTAAATACCCATATACAAAGAGATATACACAAACTGTTCATATACATTAATAATGTACAATAATAAGGTAAGCTAGTAAAAGGTAAAACTGAAGAGTTACTGTGTATCTTGGTGGTAGATCAATGGTTTTTAAAGTTATCTTCTAAAAGATTTCATTTTTACAAGTTATGACTTCTTTTATTAATCATAGTTTATTCTCTAACCAGTAAGAATAAGCCAGAAAGGTAAAGGTAATATCACTACCAACTTCTGTGTAAGAGTTATGACTAGTTCTAGTACATATATCTAAAAGCAGGTGTACGTCACCAGTAGCCACTCTAGTTACCTATGAACAAAGTTTTTCTCAGTTGTGCTAAAGTCTCTAGTTGTCTAACAGAAACAGATATAAGTGATTAACTATGTAAGAAAAGAAATTACTAAAAAAAAAAAAAAAAGTTACTTCTCCAGTAGCCATGAAGGTGAGAGAACTTCCTTTAATTGAATTCAAATTTGAAAGAGAGAAAACACATTTTTTTCACAGTGTCAATTAGAGCAAATTAAAATGAGAAAGAGTAGGTTCATTATTTATAAAAACTTTAAGATAACACTAAATTAGAGGAATATATAAATGGTGATTACTCTCTTACCCAAGACGCATCATGAACATCAAAACAGTCTTGGAGTTCATTGTGTCTCCTACACCCATAGCCACCAAAATATATTAATCTGAAAAACAAATACAAAAGGAGACACTTTAGAAATTCTCCTTCCACTTGTTCATAGACAATTGAATGAGATCATTTATCTCACCCTAACGACCTAAACAAGCCAGATAAAGTCATGCACTGTATAAAGGTGTTTCAGTCAACAATGAACTGCATATATGACAGTGGTTCCATAAGATTATAAGGGAGCTGAAAAATTTCTATCACCTAGTGATGTCGCAGCCATCATAATGTTGTTGTGCAATGTATTACTCACGTTTGTGGTGATGCCGGTGTAAACAAACCTACTGTGCTGCCAGTTATACAAAAGTATAGCACATACAATTATGTACAGTACCTAATACTTGATAATAATAACAAATAACTGNAACAAACCTACTGTGCTGCCAGTTATACAAAAGTATAGCACATACAATTACGTACAGTACCTAATACTTGATAATAATAACAAATAACTTTTATTTTTTTATTTTTATTTTTTAAATATATCTTTATTGATTTCAGAGAGAGGAAAGGAGAGGGAAAGAGAGAGACAGAAACATCAATGATGAGAGAGTCATTGATCGAGCCCGCAACCCGGGCATGTGCCCTGACCGGGAATCGAACCCCGATTGCCTGGATCCTAGGTTGACCCTCAACTGCTGAGCCACGCCGGGCCGGGTGCAAACAACTGTTTTAGAATGTACTCTTTCTAATTATTAAAAAAAAGTTTGTTGTAAAATGGTATGCAGTGTTATGCCGGCAGCAGCCTCATATATCTGGTGTTTACCTAGTCTCTTAATTGCATCATTTTCTCTTGTGTTTGATTTAATCTCATGTTTTTTGTACAGTAACACACAGTACAAGCTTACAGCCTAGGAGCAGCAGGCTATATCATACAGCCTAGGTGTGTAGTAGGCTTTACCATCTAGGTTTGCATAAATACATTCTGTGACATTCGCACAATGACAAAATTGCTTAACAACACATTTCTCAGTGTATTCCCATCATTAGGTGGTGCATGACTGTAAACTACAAAACCATATTTTTTAAAAGTCAAAGTGCTAAAGGAACAAATAGACCTAAATGAACTAATTTCAGGAAGTAATGAGTTTTTAATAGGAGAGAAGAGACTCATGGCTGCTTTCATCCCTGGTGTAACAGCAAGAGGAAGAAGAATCCAACATTGATAGGGTTGTAGAAGAAATGACCCAAAATGTTAACAGCCACATGTTGACTAGCATAGCAAATTAGAATCTTAAGAAATTCAGGCACAGAGGGAGTTTGAACCCACTCAACAACTCTTTTGCATAGTATTCAGGGAAGGCTCACAGTTAGTGAACAACAGCTGGAAGCAAAAGAGAAATGAGCAAACCTCCTTGAGGCAATCGGAGTTTTCAACTACTGAAATGTGAGATCAGAAGATTTGAAGAAAACACCTTAGAAGCATGCCAAGCCATTATGGCATACAGGGTGGCTGCCCTCAAAAGGCCAAAGGAGGAGGTGCAAGGCTGAAAGAGATCTCCCAAGGTACAGAAAGCATAAGGTGGGAATGGGGAGCAAAGAAAGCTCCATAGTGACTGGAAGGCCCACCGATTAGGCTTTACAACAGGGAAAGGTCTCCCACAGTTCAGAGAGGTGGAAACACAGTTGGGAATCTCAGCTGAAAATCTCTGGGCAATCTATAGTGCTCAAGCATGTGGCTCTAACAAAGGAAAGTCTTGATCCTGCCTCAAAATATTTGAAACTAGTGCTAAAACTGAATCAAACTAAAGCTACAACACAGCCCAAACACAAGTCAACTACAGATTATACTGGCTCAACTTGCACTCTAGTGGCCTTAAAAAAAGAAGGGCACGTCCTTTTTTGGTGATAAACATCATCTATTCCAATATTTACTATTCTTTCATAGAGAATGCCTGGCATATGATGAAAAATTAAAAGATACACAAAAAGACAAAAAAAGTGAACCATGACCAAGAGAGGAAAGAATTAATATAAGTTGACCCCAAGGTGGCCCAGATACTGGAATTAGACATTGCCTTTAAAATAACTGTGATAAATATGCTTACAAACCTAGTTTGTAAATGGTGGACAACATGCAGGAAGAACTCGGTAATTTTAGCAGAGACATGAAACCATGAAAAAGAACTAAATGAAAATGCTAAAAATGGAAAATAAGATGTGAGAAATAAAAAATTCACTACAGGCTTAACAGGAAAGTGGACACAGCAATGAAAAATACCAGTGAACTAGAAGACAGGTTGAGTATCGACCTATGATCCAGGAGATCATGATTCCATTCCCAGTNTAGAAGACAGGTTGAGTATCGACCTATGATCCAGGAGATCATGATTCCATTCCCAGTCAGGGCACATGCCTGGATTGTGGGCTCGATCCCCAGTAGGGGGCATGCAGGAGGCAGCTAATGGATGTCTATGTCTCTCTCTCATTGATGTTTCTCTCTATCCCTCTCCCTTCCTCTCACTCTAAAAATGTTTTAATAAATAAAAACAAATTTTAAATTAAAAAAACAAATTCTAAAAAGAAAAAGCATAAACAAATGAATCTACGCATTAGTGGGCAGCATGATTACACAGAGGAGAACTTTTTTAAGTGACTACAAAACACAAGATGCATCTCTAATGGTATAGAACATAAAAATAAAAGAACTACAGCCAAATTANACAAATGAATCTACGCATTAGTGGGCAGCATGATTACACAGAGGAGAACTTTTTTAAGTGACTACAAAACACAAGATGCATATGACTGTACATCTCTAATGGTATAGAACATAAAAATAAAAGAACTACAGCCAAATTTAAACTGTTTTTTAGTAATCATATTTTTGTAATATTACTAGTATTGTTGTGTGAATTATGGGATAAAGCAAATGAATACTTACATTGGTGACACTGAGAGCCAGGATTTTCAACATAGGAGAAAGAACATACTAATGTTTAAAATCAGTGAAGTTGGGTTAAAAATGTACTAGTTCTGAATGTGAAATGTAAGTATCTCCACTGGTGCATTTTGTGCTTTATCTTAATTTTTTTAATTTCCCGTCTCTGGCTTCCAAAAAAGCATAGAAATAAAAACTCATCCCATAGCAATGGCACATCTGGCATGGCACTGAGACAGAAGTCTCTAAATACCACTTGCCATCAGACAGAATCAGAATTCCTTGGAGAAATGGCTCATTACTGGTCTCGAATAGGATATATCCAAGATGAGCCTGGAACACCTTGTCACACTGAGAAGCATGCAAATTATAAGACTGGTAGATAGCTGGGGCTGGGGGGCAGTGGAGGGATTGAGCAAACAAGAAAAGAGAGAAAGAACTCACGGACACAGACAACAATGTGGTGATTGCAGGGGGTATAGTGGTGGACAGAGGTGGAAGAGGGTCCTAGGGGAACTTAGAATATCTTCAGGACCTTGGGGAATGAAAAGTTTCTAGGACATGAAAGCACTAATCATAAGGAAAAGATTAGTAAATTATACTACATTAAAATCAGATTATACCATTAAGAGAATGAAGAGATATATACCCAATAAAAATGTATACACTTATGTACCTAAATACATAGAATGTTCATATTATATTACTCCAAAGAGTTAAAAAGTGAAAATAACCCAAGTCAACAGTAGAATGAATAAATATACTGTAGTATTTTATTTAATAAAATAACATATAGAAATCAAACTATAGGTAGACAAACATCATGGATAAATCTCAAAAATATGTGAGTAAAAGAATAAATTCTATAGGATTCCATATATGATACAAAAAATAAAAAAGAATAAAAAATTCAGGATGCTACAAATTAGGATAATGGTTTCCTTTAAAAGGAGTCTGAGCATTGTGGTTAGGAGTGGACATAATGAAGGTTTCTAGAGTGTTGATAATATACTGTTCTTTTATTTGGGTAGTGATTACATAACTGTGTTCACTTTGTGATAATTATTTACAGTGTACACTTATGATTCGTACTAGCCCTATCAGAATGTTATGTAATGCTTCAAACTCTAAACTAGTGAAGTATTTGTACATTAACAGAAAGATCAACAAAATAGAATAAAACCCAGAAATAGATCCAAATAACAAAGAAAATGTAGTAAGTACATGAAAAAGGTGACATCTGAAATAACTGAGTTAGAGATGAGATAGACATCCAAAAAAAGTAAAACCTGTATCTATATCTCATACCATTCATAGGATAAGTCCCAAAATCAATCAATGATTTAAGTGTAAAAATTAAATTTAAAAAAGCAATAGAAGAAAATGTGGGAGAATTAGGTTATAACCTTGGAGTGGAAAAAGTCTTTGCAATCAATACTCAAAATCAAGAAGCTACAAAATAAATTATTGAGATTTATCTAGATCACAGTTTTAAAAAGCTGTTTAGATTTTCAAGATGGCAGCAGAGTAAGTGAAAGTTACCCTCACCTCCTCCCAGGACCAAACTGGAATTACAATTAAATTATGGAGCAATCATCCTGAATAACCAACTAAAGACTAGCTGAAGAGAAGCCTTTGGAACAAAGATTTTCAGAGAAAGCCACATCAAGACTGACAGAAAGGGCAGAGACACAAAAAGGGCTGGTCCCGCTCCCACAGGCAGTGGCTGAGGTTCTGGAGGGATATCTCAGCTGCAGGGGATTCCTCCTGAGAAGCATGAGGCCTCAACCCCAAGCCCGGCTCCCCAGCCCAGAGCACCAGAGCCAGGAAGAGGTGCCAACATATCATCTGGCTCTGAAAAGCAGCGGAGTTAATGTCCACCAGGGAGATACAGCTAGAGACACAGGCACCCTCTTAAAGGGCCAATGCACAAAATTTCATTCACAGCCACTCATCCTGAGCTCCGGCAAAGGGAGGACTGAGCCGACTAGAGTCACCTGAGGAGAATCTGAGGTTTGTGGCAGAAGGGAGCTAGGGAGACAGCTGCCAGGATCCCTGTGCTCAGTCATTCTTTGACACTGCAGTCACCATCTTTCTTGGGTGGAGTACTCCCCTCT